CTTTTCGTTGTAGCCCAAGTACAAGGCATATGTGGAACTCAGTATATCCGAGTCGCCCTTTGTGGGCAATGCAAAGTTGAAGTGCAACTTGATCTGAGGATCGTGCTGGAACTTGTCAAGCAACGACTCGTATTTGAAGTTGATCAAGAAAAGTTTTGACAGGGCTGAGATAAGCAATCTCTCGGGAGCAGGGGCGTAAAAGCCGTACTCCTCATCCTTGAAGTTACTAAGAATTGGCTGCAAAGTTACCAGTTTGATGGTCTTGTGTGGCTTCATGAGCGAAGCAGAGGAGACAGACTTGGTGGTCTTGTCAAATGTGTACAATACGCCGTCAGCATAAGTGAAGAGGCACTCGTCAAGACTGGGTCTCTCGAATGTTATACTGTAGATCTCAAACGTCCTGGCGCCATCAAGGCCAACCAATCTGCAAGTGTACTTGTCCGACTTGTTCAGACGAGTGATGTAGAACAAAAGCGAGCTCTTGTGCTGGAAAGAATGCTCGGAAATGAATGTGTGGTAAATGACGCTGTGTACTGAAGATCTGGTGGGCACAGGCAAGCTGCTCAACATGGATGCTTTGCTCAAGGAAATGTGAGATGGATCCTCTGCATCGGCTTCTGCTTCTTTGTACTCGAGATGTTCCATAGAGCCATCTTTGGAAAGCACATATATGGAGGAGTCTTCACCAAACATGATTCCCACTGCAGGTGCTGTGACTGGATACTCTGCTGTACTGGACTCCTCATTTCCAAACTTTTTGATCAACTTCACCAAGTGCTTTCTTCTTTCGCTAAGACCCACAACGTACAAATCGCCCTTCACGTCCATGCTGTCCACAAGTGTACTGGACGATAATGGAAAAGACCAGACGAGTTTTGGTGTGGGTTTCAACACGTAGCTCGAGATTATCAGCTTGGACATGCCCAAATGTATGAAGTCAGTTTCCTCAAAGGAGAGGCTTTTCTGGCTGTGGGGAAGCACGATACGCTGGTGGTTGGGCACATCAGCGATTCTGGGTAGCTCGACGAGCGAAAACAGGTCGCTCAATCCGGGGAGCATTGCTGGTTTTTATGGATATGGATGAAGCTGAAGAATTGATGGTGGAGTGCAGAGAAAAATCTGCGATGGAGCTGAGCAGAGGTTGTAAGTATGTGGTGCACGGGTGTCACCGGTGGTCTCCAGAGTGGTATCCAGAGGCGGTAGGAAACGAAGAGTGGGTTTTAAGGGAGGAGGAATCAAGGCTCTTTTCTTGAATGGACACAAGAAGGGGTCTGTTTTTGAATAATGGCGTCATGACGTTGAGTGGTACTTTGCTACAATGTTCAGGTCCTTTTCGCAGCCATTCAATGCACTTGTGATCTCTGCAATGATGGGATGCTATAAACAGTAAACCTTTATTATTTAGTAAATGAATATCTCAATTAGATCTGCGTGGTTAATAAGGCATGTATTTGTGCGTCTCTCAAAGGATCTCAGATGGTTTTACTATGAAGACCAACTCACCACTGGCAATTCATGTAAACTTGACTATCAATATGTTTAACAGATCGATGAAGAAAGCTGGTCTCTAAATTATTAATGCTCAGAAACTGTCTTCCTGTCAAGGGGAATTACATGTATCTAACGTAGTGGAATCCTCTCACAGCTTCACTTGTAATTAAGTGTCAACGCACACAAAAATCAAATACCTATCTTCATCCTTTTCACCCTCTAGACTACCAATTTAATCAAATATCGATCACATCTATCAAAAATTGATTTTATTCCCAAATTCCTACACTCTCCTCTCTCACCACCATAAGTGGTGTGTGGGTGCGACATATACCTACTACAAGTTACTACTACTTATCCCAGCATGTCTCTACCGTCGACCTGGCGCCAGTTCCAGCTCTTCGACTTTCTTCCCATCAGAGACCCTAACTATCAGCTGGAGTTTCCCCTCTTTTCCGACCCGTCATTATCTGCCATCACCTCGTCACAGTCTTATATCGTCTTCGCTTATCAGAATGCTTACATACGACTTATCGACAAGAAACTGTTGCAGCTGATAAGGCTGTTCTGTGCTTATGATTTGGAATACAGAATCACCTTCGCTAAGCCCTTGCTTCATCTGAATTTGTTGGTGACCTTGGCAGAAGCTCAGGGCATGCCTGCTGTTATAAAGGTGTGGGATCTCAACAAGATTACTCAATTGAGCCCGAGCACAGTCAACGACGACGACGCCATGAAACACAAGTTTGTTACAAAAGTGCTTGTTCACGAGGGAGACAACTCCTACCCTGTGTCGTGTTTTGCTTTCAACGATTCGTTGACATGTGTCGCAATCGGCTATACCAACGGAAAGGTCATTCTTGTCCGAGGCGATATGCTCAGGGATCGAGGAGCAAAACAGAGAGTTATTTACGAAAGCATTGATCCTATTACGGGTATCCACTTCAACAGATTCGAGGAGATCATCTACGTTACTACTATTTCGAAAGTGCTCACAGTTCTCACGACAGGAAGAAACCAGGGAAAGCCACATCGCGTGTTATCGAAGAACCAGGGCGTTGACCTTGACTGCTCTGATTTGGAGTATCGATCATCGAAGTTGATCACGGGAAACACCGAGGACTTGAAGTTCTTCAACCATGTGAGCAGATCTAGCGTCATCAACTTCAATGTTCCAAAAAAGAAAATCCTCCGTCTTTTCAAAGACTACTTATTGATAGTGTGTCCAATTGAGGAGACAAGCGATGGTGGTACCTCCAAAACACTCACTCGTTTGCTTATCTTGGACCTAAAAAATATGCATATTTCTTTCAGTTTGACCATTCCAAACCTGACCATTTCCCATGTGTTTGCCTCAAACAACGACAACAACGTCTTTCTACTTTCTACAGATGGTGTGTTGTACAAGCTTCATGAAAAGCCTATCAACCAGCAATTGGAAACGATTTTGCAACGTGAGCTTTTCAGCATAGCACTCAACCTCGCTGTACAAAATCAACTTGACGACTCGACTCTATTGAGAATCTACAGACTTTTTGGTGATCATCTTTATGAGAAAGGGGATTTTGACGGCGCGATCGACAAGTACATTCAATGTCTTCAATTCTACAGTAAAGAAACAAACAAAAGAGATGATGCGGACGAAGACAACATGGATGATTTCATCATTAGTGTTGTGATGGGTTTCAAGCAAGTCTCCAACATACAAAACATGACCAGCTTTTTGGCTGAATTGCACAAATTGGGCTTGGCTGATAGCGATCATGTCACATTGCTAGTTTGTTGTTATTGCAAACTCAAGATGACGAAAGAGATCGATACTTTCATCGCCGAAATCAAACCCGAGGGCGAGAAACAGACAGACAGTAAGTCAAGACTTGACTACGACTCCTTGAATTATTCGCTCTTTATAAATCTTTTCAAAGAATGCGGCTATTATCATCAGGTTACCCAACTATTGTTGAAGCTTGATCGACCACATACAATTGTGGACATACAGTTAAATGATCTCGGTCAGCATGAAAAGTGTATCACCTATATTAGGTCCTTACCTGTTGATGAATTACTTCGAATTCTTATCGACTTCCTGGAGGCACTTCTCAGATACAAACCCATGGAAACCACAGAACTTTTGATCAACGTCTTCACTGGTCAATACAAACCCGACAAGAAGCTGGACTTTTTTGAGAACTCTCATGTTGCAGCAGATGTGGTTGAACAAAAATCCAACCCTGCAATCTCTTCTTACGGGGCTTTCTTGAGCTATCTCGCAGGGTCGACAACGGAGCAAAACGAAGGAGCAGATGAAGTTGAGATCGAAGAGCCCACCTATTTGCCTCCAAGACCGAGCCTTGTTTTCCACTGCTTCATTGGTCACGAACGCGAGTTTGTTGTCTTTCTTGAAGCATGTCTTCAAACCTTCGATAAGTATCAGGGCAATGTAAACGACAAGCAGGACTTGCTCATCACGTTGTTCGAAATTTATCTCTCGATGGCTTCAAAAGATCAACAGCAGGCTAGTGATTGGAACGAAAAGGCAAAAAGATTACTCCTCGAAAACAAGGATCTCATCGACAAGTCAAAGGCCTTGTTGATTTCGCATATGTACTACTTCGAGGACGGTATCAATATTGTCAACGAAACGAACGAAAACTTCGAAGAATCTCAGTTCCGGTCGCGTCAGTTGGATGGTGATATTCATGGATGTCTTGAAGTGGTCCACAAGCACGGTGAGAACAAACCAAAATTGTACGCACTTATGCTTAAGTTCTTGGGCAAGTCTCAGGAAAAAATTGACGACTTACCGAAAAAAGAATTCCACTTCCTTCTCGAGAAGATTAAAAAGCATAGGCTCCTCACGCCATTGGAGATTGTCAAAGCCCTCAGTCCGAACCCAAATGCCACTATTGGAATGGTCAGAGACTACTTGATTGACCATTTTGAGCAAACTAACAAGCACATTAACAATAACGAGAAGTTGATTTCCTCCTACGAGAAGGACTCCACCAAGAACAGTCTTGCTCTCACTGAACTCACTTCCAACCCAGTGGTTGCGAACAACGCAAAATGCAATGGATGCGAGTTGCATCTTGAATTCCCAGTAATCTACTTCAAATGCAAGCATGCCTACCATCAGCGGTGCTTGAATGAGAACACCTACATTCCTGAGTCTTCGGATAATGGTGACAATGATCCAAAATGCCCAATCTGTGTCAATGACTTGAGTTCTTTGGAGGCTGCTCGCGAAAGACAGCTTCACATGAAGGAAGAAACTGAAATTTTCGAGCAAGAGCTCAAGGACGCCGACGACAAGTTCAAGGTCATGTGTGACTATATTGGTAAAGGAATCATGGAGTGAGATATTGGCGGAGTTTCGCAGATTACCCCATACAGAATGGCTGCGAAAAGTCGAGCAGTAGTCTGAAACAACTCTGAGACATCTCCATGAGATGGCATAGCCGGGGTAATGAGGAAAAAAATACACGATCCTACTTCTTTCATCTATCAATATGAGTTTTCGAGAACTCTGTAATGACTTTTGTGTCAGTCAGGCAAAGAGTGTGAAGTACCTTGAAAGGGCCGCACAAGAGGTGACTTTACCCAAAGATTCTCCAACAAACTACCCCAAGTTACCCTACGATGTGTCTATTTATATCAAAAAGCTAAGTCTGTTTCTTTTTGAAGTGGCGAATCGTCAAGACGATCCCAGGCTTCAAGTCTGTGAGGTACTCAATCGGGTGGTACTCAGCAACGAGGATATCCACAACGCAGTTCGAAGAATCTCGGAGGTGATCAAGGGGCTGGATCATGAAATCATACAGCTTGAACAGGTTTTCGCCATGGTAATTGAAAATTTCGGTCAGGGTATTTTTGCATTGGCCAAGGGTGCTGGTCGACCAGGCAAGAGTCAGGAAAGTGAAAATTACGAGGCAGGTCTAGCCATGGTGAAGTTTTCCCAGATGGTCAATCCGCCAAGGCCAAAAAGAGAAGAGCTCAGGCAAGTCGATCCGTGGAACGTTCCGTTGAACAGTGCTTGCGATGTACGGATCACCACGACCAAGGCTGGAAAGGAATCGCCCAAGATTCAAGGAAAAGGGTCCAAAAGGGCAGACATGAAGCAGGCAATTGGACGTCTTCAGCGGCTCAAGGAAGTCCCAAATCCAGGCAAAGCGGCTTTCGACAGCCCAGGCCCTTTTTCAGATTTAAAGCGTCTCGAGATATCCGTTCTGGAGCAGCTCTATGTGGTGATGAATTTCTGTGAAGACCAGCTACGGTTTGCGCATTGGTGGCTGGACTTTCTTGGAGGCCACAAGTACGATTACTGCTATGAACAGTACATTGAAAAATGCCGCTGGCAGGCACAAAACTCGGGACGCTATATTCAAAGATTGGCCCGGCTACGTCAGCAGGTGGCCACCATGGTTGGTTTTTTCAGCAGTAGGCCAATTGACAAGGCTGAGGTTGACGAATTCGCTCAGCTTGTTACGTCTAGTCTAGTTATCTCCTCGGCCGAATGGTACGAGCAGATGGCCATTGGGTTTAGTGGAGCGCTGTGGAGCGAGATAGAGAGGGAATACGGTGCTGCCGTGCTAGCCACTGAGCGATGCTTGTCCATGGAAGTTGACGATGGCAGTAAGAGGAAGGTACAGAGTGATCTGTCTGATTTAAAGTGACACTTTCACTGAATCTTTTTAAACTGAACTTTTGTCTCTTGGGCCCCTGGCCTCGTCTCGTACCAGTATGCTGTGCCATTGTCTCAGATGCGGTGCAGCATTGTTCGAGGTGGCCCCACCCAGATCGGGCAAGTGCTCACGGTGAAAAACCGTGTAGCTGTGGCGCCTCAATGGCGGAAAAGAACACATCATCAAATCAGGCGACTCCACAGAAGCGTTTTAGGTTTCAAGGCTTTGTGATGGTTTGGCGAGACCATGCGGATGCGCAGCTTGGCGCCACCATTTTGCAACCATTTCGCAGGCCCAGGGAATGGGAATGGAACATTCAACAAAGGAATTGCATTTTTTGAATAACCATAAATAACCATCTCGGCGAATCACGCTGTCCGGTCAGTTTTATCAACTCGACTCCATGCCAAAAAGTCCGTCTAAGCAGCTAAGTCACCCTCCACTGATCCCCGATGCCCTGCGGCCGTCATAACCGCCATACACACCGCATAACAAGAACCACTGAAAAATGTGCCATCAAAAAAGCCAAATCATCCAAAATCCACAAATCTCGATCGTCCCCGCCTTTCTCCCAATTCCTTCGCTCGTGCCTGGCAACTCCTTCGCTGCTTCTCGTTCAGCAAGCAAACAGATAACCGCTGTGTCGGCGCGGCGAGCAACACTGTCTTGTGACACCATCAGCCTACTCATCCAAACAGCACTGGCCATTGGCCACGTCGAACTGGACAATTCCCGTGAAAAATAAAATATCCAAAAACTAAAAGCCTACCTGTTGTCAAAAAATCATAAATTCACTTTTTTGCCCCGCCACAAGATGCACAGGGATGCCACCTCGCTCATACTTGGTGATGCCGCACCCGCTTGCTCCTGATTTTCCTCGGTGCGATTTTCTCTCCCTTCACCACCACCCTTTTCTTTCCAATGTCTTCTCCACAAGAGTCTTTTGACTTCAACGGCGCCTCCGACGCCTCCCAGACCACCCCTGTGTCCCACCAGACCACAACCAATGCTCCTTCCTCCAGCCTCTGCAGCTTGCTTACCTGGAAGGACCCTGTCGCCACAGGAAAGGTGTTTGGTGGCCTCTTGCTCGGCCTTGTGCTCCTCAAGGTCAACGTGATCAACTACGTCTTCTACGCTGCTTACCTTGGCCTCTTGGTCTCCGCTGCCGCCGAGTATGTGGGCAAATTGGTCACTGGCCAGGGCTTTGTCACCAAGTACACTGCCCACGCTCCATCCTACTCCAAATTCGTCAATGACTCCATCTTGCCTGCCATTGGCAGATTTGCTACTTGCGCCGAGTCCAAGGTCCAGCGTATTGTGTACGCCCAGGACATTGAGTTGACCTTGAAGGCTGCCGGTGTCTCGTACGTCTTGTACTTTGTCACCTCCTACTTGTCCTTGTACACCCTTGCCATCGTCTCCGTCGTCTTGGCCTTCACTGTGCCTTTCTTGTACGTCCAGAACAAGGACGAGATTGACGCTGCCGTTGCCCACTACTCCAAGATTGTCAGACAGAAGTCCTCCGAGTTGACCGACCAGGCCCACAAGTCCGTCGCTCCTCACTTGGACACCTTGGCCAAGAAGACCGGCCCTGTCGGTGACTTCATCCAGTCCAAGTTCCCCACCAGAACCGCCGGCTCCACCGTTGGCTCCGGCAACGACACCTCCTACCACACCGGCGCCGGCTCCGAGCCTGTGGCCGTGGAGAAGCCCCTCGAAGGCGCTGGTTCCGCTGCCTCTGCTCACGCAACCGGCTCTTCTTTCCCATCGGTGCCTTCTGGTACTCCATCCGGTGTTGTTGCCGAGGACCCAGAGCCCGTTTCCACCAAGACTGCTGCTTTGTAAGGTGGCCGCCTGTCTTTAGCAGTCGCCCCTTTGTCAGCTATCTCTTGCAATTGGCGTTTATTTATGATTTGCTTGCAGCTTCTTGATGCAATTGCTGCTTTTTGTTGTATACGAATGCACTAGCACGGGTATCGATTTAGTCGCAGTCCTCGGGCGTAGGCAATCTCTCAAAACATGCTATGTACTTGTCTCCCTGGTTCCTCGTCACCTTCTGGCCTTCTTCCGTCAGGTTCCACATCAATTGTGCACATTTGTCTTGTTCTTCCCATTCCTTGGTCTTTCTCTCAAACATTGGATGCTCCTCCAAATGCTTCACCATCCACTCGTGCAAATCCTTGACGTCGGTGATGGTGTATACAATGCCGCCTTCTCTCAACACATAGGCGTATTCCGTGAGAAGTGTATTCGTGATGATTCTGGCCTTGTGCTTTCTCTGCTTGAAGTGTGGATCAGGGAAGCAGAAGAACATCTTCAGCAACTGTCCTTTGTGGAAGAAATTAGGAATAAATTTCATGGCGTTGCCTCTCAAGACAGCGCAATTCTGGTATTCGTTATTGGCCTGGTTGTTCTCTCTCAAAGCGATGATTCTATCTTCAACGTATTGTGTCACTTGCACTCTGATCTCCATGCCCAAACTCAAAACTTCTGGGAACTCTCTTGCCAACGTTATAAGAAGACCACCGTATCCACATCCAATATCGGCAATCTCCACATTCTTGGTCATCTTCTGTGTTTCTTCATCGTAGTAATGAGGGTACAACTTCTTCCAGTCCATGGAGTCGGGGTCCCTTGGGTACTCTAAGCTGTGGTCTGAGAACGGATTGGAGTGTGCTCTTTGTCTGTAGAATCTCTTCCTGGGCATCTCGGCAACATCGTAATCGGGTCCTTGATTCTGGTTTTCGAACTTGACCTGGTTCTTCTTAGCAATGTCTCTGGCCTCCTGCTTTTTTTCTCTATAGGCTCTTTTCTTCGACTCGGCCTCCTGCTGCTCTCGTATCAAGGCATTCTTTTCTTTCTCTGTGAGTTCGGCTGACATGACGGTGGGTTGGTGAAGTAGTAGATTTTCAGTTTTCCGGCACCCAGCGCTGATGAGCATCCCACATTGTGACTAGTAATGAAGGAAGTGGGTGGGGTAGAAGAAGGTGGTAAAATTATGGAAATGGTTGATTTTTGTTGTTTACTTGAAGGTTGAAGCTACTTTTGGTATAGATTGAAGCTGAATCTGACGGTGCTCCAGCTTACCTGGTTCACCTTGTAGTGGCTGCGAAATCTCTCTATACGGCTCTACATAATCCAGTTTATGACAAAGGAATTTGAGCTTTCATTTATTTCGAATTACTTGTCAAGCGTTTAATGATGACTGAGTATTGCAATGACAAAACGTACTGAACCCACCTAACCTCACTATTACATGAACTCCTGGGACATCTTGCCATATTCTTACTCAAAAACAATATCAACTCCATCCAATCTACGCCACATCTCCTCTGATTTTCGCGTTTTCTATTTACAATGCGATTACTCCTCGTCCTTCTTCTCGTCCTTCTGCTCCTCAGGATCAAGGTCCTTTCTCCTCTGCTCCAATGTCAAGTACATGTGGGTACCAGCAGACTCCAATGTTCTTACAAGACCAGCTCCACCCAAGATGGTCAACACACCGGCCAACTGGCCCTGCAACTGCTCCTTGGTAGGCAACTGCTTGAACTGATCCACATCTGCAACGTTGTAAACGTTTCCTTCGATTCTAGCACCAATAAGGAAAAGCTTTTCGTCCTGAGACTTCAAAAGCTTGACAACCTTCTCGACAGTTGGCGGGTCACACTCTTTGATGGTGATGACGGCACTGGGTCCGTTCAAAAGAGGAGCCAATGGGTGCTCGACGTTCTTGTTTTTCAAGGTGTTCTTGTGCAAAGCGGGATCTTCTTCGTGGGCAGACCGAAGGTAGACTCTGTACAAAGCGTTACGCAAGTATGTCATGGTAACACCCAACTTCTTCAACTCGGATCTCACCTTGAGAGTATCATTCTTGACCAAGTTATTGTGATGCAAATAGAGCACGATCTGGTTGTTGTCGTTCAAGTACTTGTAGTAGTCGATCAAAAACGTTTTTCTTGAAAGCGGATGCTTGGTGGTTTTTCTGCTGAGCTGGGCAGCGTCGTAGTCGTCGTTGGGTTGGACCTGGAGAAGTCTAGGCGATAACGACAAGCTTCTGAATGCAAGGGGTGAAAGGACCGTAGGCGTTGGAACTTTGGGAAGAGCCTGGCGAAGGCGCCCTAAAAGGGAAAATGGCGCAAGTCTCATAGCCAGATGTTAGTCTTTCAAGGCACTAGCGTTAAAAAGCGATAGATTTTCAGCTCGCTCTTTTTTGTGTATGCACGACTGGTGGTCTGGTACTTGACAGGTCGTTGGAGGAGGAATAGAATTGATGGTTTTGCTTCTTTAGGAGTTTAGTTGGCGTCTAACAGGTTTTTCAAAATCAAACTAGAATTATTCTTTGGCTTCAATTTTTACAAGTACTCGAAGAATTTGCACCCAGTCGGTTGGTCCTCTGCGAGAACGAGAATTCTATTAAACATTCGTCAAAAATTTCAACAAAATAAGAATTTGTTATTACTTTTCTCCTTCAAAGGATTCAAAACTAAATAGATTCTCCAAAAGAACACTTTTACCTAATTTCAATATCTTTCGTTAGTTATGAGTTTTGGAGGTCCGTGCAGGGTATTGATACTGGCGCCTACATATCGATGCTCATCCCGTAAGCTATAGCTCTTCCTTCGATTCCTCCATCGATTGTCACAATTCCACCACAATTTCTGAATTTATGTCAAAAGCAAGCCTAGAGGATTTCTTGGGCCTGTTGGTGGATGCTGCTCTGGCCGAGCCACCAGCCAAAAGAAGCCAACCAGCATCAAAACTGGATTCTGTCTTTGGGTATGCAACGATAAATATGCTTGAACATAGCGGGCGGATGCTCCAGAAGAACATCAAACAGATTTTGGACGCTGCTCCCACGCTAGCTGAATTGGACTCGTTGTCGAGAAATCCCAATGTGGATGACTTCACTAAAGGTGAGATCAAGACAAACAACCTAGTCCGCATGGCTGCAGCACTTAAAACGAAATATGCAGCAAATGGCCTTCCGATATTTGATCAGATACTTCAGGAGAAAGTAAAGATCCTGAAACAGGAGGCCGCTAAGGCCCCCAAGGACGAGTCACCACAAGTCAAACCTGCTTCTGAAGAAAAAGAACAGGAGTTTGACAACGTCATCCCTTTACCCAAAATCGAGAGCCTGGCTCTCCGAGCAAGGGTTTTCCAGCATAAGTCCATGTCAGCCAACAAAACTTATTTGGATGACAAGGAGATCATCAGTCAGCATAACGAGAGACTCGAGTTTTTGGGAGACTCTGTCCTCAACACCATGGTTACCAGGATCTTGTACGATAGATTTCCCTACGCCAAAGAAGGCCAGCTTTCGCAAATGAGATCCACACTTGTTTGCAACAAAACGTTAGCTGAATTCTCCCAATCATACAACTTCCATCTTCTGTTGCGTTGTAACATCGACGAAGAACAGCTACGCATCGGAAGACAGAAAGTGTATGCTGATATCTTTGAAGCTTACGTGGGCGCCTTGTCAATGGAGCGTGGCTACGATCTTCTGGAGGTTCAAATGTGGCTCACCTCACTCATGGATAAGATGCTTCGGAAAATGGGCAAGGAGCTCGAAGGCCAAGCACCTGTGGACCGTAATGCTAAGGCTGAGCTTTACGCCTTGGTGGGGTCCGCCGCTCTGCATCCACAGTATCTTGTGGTCGACAATGGTAACGGAGTTGATTCTCACTTTAAGGTTCACTGCGTCATGGAAGGTGAAGTTTTAGGCGAAGGTGAAGCACCCAACCATCGTGATGCTGGACTTCGGGCCGCAAAAGCAGCGCTCCAGAATAATAAGTTAATCGAGAAATTTAGTCGAAAGAGGGCGGAGACCGATCGCTCAGCATCCATGGTCAGCTCGGCTCAGTCAAGTGAACTGGACGAATTTCCGCTCGTTGCATCTGAAAGCATTCAACCTAACAAGTTTTCAAAAAATGAACTCTATGCATTTTTTGGCAAACAGGTTGGTCTCACGCCAACATATGACATAACTCACACAGACAATGGGTACAAAGCAGAGTTGAAAGTTAAGGGCAGTGTACTTAGTGTGGCATACGATGCCTCTAAAAAGAACGCTCAGAGTCGTGCTGCTACTGTGGTTTTGCAGAACAAGGAGAAGCTTGATGAGTTTCTCAGATGGTTGGAATAAGCATAGAATTTGAGTTGCATGGAAACAAACAATACATAAATATATAGTTAAAGGACTTTTTAAGCATTTATGACCTCAAAAGCTTTCAATTATTGTCTTCAAGAATAACACATGAAATACAAGGCGTGCGTTTCCAGACTAGTTGGGTAGGTATGACCCACATCTTATGTCCAGATTATCAATCTAGGGCCTTCATGTCCCATTTAAAGATCAAAATGAATTTCTAGCTTCAAATTCAAGCTTCTTATATCGAATGAACCATGAAAACATAATGTTCGCCTAAAAATCGCCACAGACGTTTTCAGACTGTCACCTTTCTTGGGTGCAGCTGTGAGCCCCAGAAGTTAATATTTCAATAAAAATACCTATTTTTTTCCCCAAAATGACCCAAAAACTTAGCCGATATATATTACCCAGCTGGTTCACATCTTCAACGAAGGCAACTTGTCCGAGTGGTTAAGGAGAAAGATTAGAAATCTTTTGGGCTTTGCCCGCGCAGGTTCGAGTCCTGCAGTTGTCGTTATTTTTTGATTTTTATCATTCATAAGATAGTTCTACGTGAACGTCTGCTTTTTATTTCATTAAATTCATCTTCTGGGTCTATGAAGACTTTTTTTCGAGAGAATTTTCCAAATGAGTCCTCCGTGGTACACTGTTGTAGCTGGAGAAGACACTAACGAAATGGCTGCGAAATTGGAATCAGCTACCATTTAGGCTACCAACAGCAGGTAAAGTATTAATTATCTAGGTATTACCAACTACTTTCCTCTATTTGAACCAGAATTTCTAAATTCACTTGAAATCCTTTTACTTCTTGGGCACATGGCCATTTTCCTTCTCATTATAAGGTGGACCATGGGTGCGAAAAACATAGGGCATCTCATCGCACTAAAAAAGTCACATCGAAGACCACCTTCTTTGCAATATCTACGATGCAGTTGGCAGTTCACCAAGACGACGCCAATATTCTTCTCCAAGAGAGAAACGTCCTTTCGGACAACATCTTGGACAAGTACAGAACCGCCGGTCACATTGCCCAGACCACCCTTAAGTACTTGATCCAACTCATCAACGACTCCTACCACTTGGGAAAGACCGAAAGACCATACAGCTTGCAGGAGCTCTGTGTTCTCGGAGACTCCATGGCACTGAAGTTGCTTGGCCAGCTGTACAATAACCTGGAAAAGACCAGAGAGAAGGGTTTGGCTCACCCAGTCACTATTGATGTGAACGACTACGTTTCCAATGTCTCGCCAGAGCTTGATTCTCAGCAGCACTACACCTTCCTGGCCGGTGACGCTGTGACTATTTCGACCGGTGCCCATATCGACGGTTACACTGCCTTGGTGTCGCATACCGTTGTGATCTTCCCACCAGGTGTGATGATTGACAACCAGTTGAAGCCTGAGGGTCCACTTTTGGGTCCTAAGGCCGACGCTATTGTTGCCGCCTACATCGCTACTGAGGCCACCGTGGCCCTTCTTGGTCTTGCATTGACGCCAGAGAAGCTTTCCGCTGTTCCAGGCTTGAATGGTGCTTCTGCTATCACTGGTGCCCACATCAGAGAGCTTGTTGACAGCATAGCTGAGAACTTTGGCTGTGTGGTTGTGCCCGGCTCTAAGGTTCGTAGAGTGAGAAGATTTTTGGCTGGCCAGGCCGAAGGTATTGTTGCCGAGAGAGATTTCAAGGGAACTGTGTGGGGTGAGAGTGATCAGGAAGAGAGACTTTTGAAGAAGACCACCAACGACACTCTGTTGATTGTTCACGACAAGAAGGAGGCTGCCATGACTACGCAATCCTCGCTGGCTGTTCCTACTGACGAGTTTGTCATTGAGGCTGGTGAGGTCTACAACGTTGACATCAAGATGGTTTCTGTCAAGGACCTTGAGAAGGGTGTCATCACCTTGGAGGATGCCGACGACCTTAAGAACGAATTGGCCAAGAAGACCATTTTCATCCGTGACTTTGCTGTGACCCACCAGTTGAAGTTGAGATCAGCCAGGAACTTGCTCAACACTGTCGACAAGCTGTTTTCCGTCTACCCATTCAAGTTGACCCACACCTGTGACTCTTTCCCCGTTGACCACGAGTCCGGCAATGCCATCAAGCAGTTGGAGGAGATCAAGAAGGAGATGAAGACCCACAGATTGGGTCTCAGTGAATTGACAAACAGATACCTCGTGAGAGGCAAGCCAGTGCAGAGAGTCAAGAGCGTGCCATTGCTGAAGATCCTTACGCTGGACAACAAGACCGGAAGACACGGAATCGATGCCACCAAGTTGACTTTGCCAGGTAAGGAAGTGCCATTGCCTTCTTTGGGTGTGAGTGCCATCAAATTGAAGTCTCTCTTGAAGTTCGGTACCTACGCTGACGCTGTTGCCAGAGAATCCACCACCATTGTGTTGAACAACTCCCAGAACAACGTTGTGCGTTTGACAGGAGGAAACAGAGCCTTCACGCCGTCGTGGGTTCACTCGCAATACCAGGTGGGTGGAGCTATTCAGCCTACTGTCGAGGCCTTGAGTCAATTGATGCAAGACAGCAGGTTTGGTATCAAGGTGAAGGAGATTCAGCCATATGAGTTGAACAAGGACGTTTTGCATTTGGAGGAGACGATGCAGTTGGACTAGAGTGTACTATAGAAAGCAACGAGCATAAACAGAGACGCAGGCGGAAAGAAATGTAGAAGAAAAGCTGTGAAGACGTAGATATGGGTGGCTCGATAGTGGCTGCACTTGCGTTTTAGACTATGCCTAAGCGGTACGCCAGAATGGCTGCGAATCTAAATCTGGAAGGGAGCACAGAGGGTTTTGAGCTAGAATCCGGTGAATGAAGCAAGTTCTGGCAGTTGCTTACCTGCAGCAGTCAACTTTAATTAAGATCTTCAAAAAACCGATTCAAAAACAGTGTTTTCATCATGAATTCTGCTACGGCCGCGACATTCCCAGACGCTAATTTGAGGCAATTGCAGTGCCACGCCAGCATTGTAGTGGAGTTGTTGACCAAGCCAGCAAGCCATAATGTCGCGACAGAAAATGTCGCGTGGGCAAGCCAGGAGCCTCGAGGCATTCAGGGACCCTGGTTCGAAATCGAAAAAGATTTTTAAATTATGTTGCTGAAAAGCCTCGAAAAGTGCCGTTTCCTTAGTACCCGGGGAAAATAGGCGGTGGTTGCCGCACCCAAGAAAGTCGTTTTGTGGTCCTAATTGAGCGCCTCGCCTGTGGGGCCACCGCCTATCAAAGTTAGATTTTTAGCCTCACTTTGCTCCCTGTCCCTCCTTCACAAAAGACAGGAAAAAATCGTGGGAAAAAAGAAACACCTCCAAACTCTCACCAACCGATCCCTTCTTTATTCCACCTTTTGAGTATGTATTGAATTTTAACGTCAGAAACTGGGAGAAAGACCCATCAGCTAGGGAAATAAAGCCGGCCCAGCTAATTGCCCCCTATTTGTCGGACCGTTGTCGCCCAATGGGTCGATAATGCCCAAGACGAATCAGATACCGTTGAAGAGCGTTTCTTCGTGATCCAGCCTGATTCAGGCCAATTTGAGTCCAGCGGCGTGTTATTCTCGTCGGAAAATACCCAATCGTGTGTTTTTACGTCGAATTGGCGTTTCTGTTGTGAATCAGGCTGGGAGGCGAACCAACGCCACCGAGCTTGCGGTAAGGACGCGATCGAAATTGAGGAAAAGAGACCCGTGGAATCTCGGGCGTAGTAGGTGGGCGACGAGATGAAGTTTCTTCCGTGAGAGAGAGAACGGAAGATGGAATTGGTCGCTGGCAAACACGACGGTTCGTCTGTGAAGCGACTGCAATAGTCCGCTGGACCAGAAAGAAATTCGAGAGAAAATATGTGAAACACCCAACGGTTGATGCATAGAAGCAATCTCGCTTCCTAAAAATCTTCCCTGGGATGTTTCGGCGAGTTGCCTATCTTGGCTGAGTACCGGTGTTGTCGGTGTTCGCGCTTGCGTAGGCAGGGCGTAGTAAGAATGACTTCACACCCGCCCGATCTACACATCCGCGAGTTGAATCGCCTACGCTACAGTACACCCTGACACCCCTTCGCCAAGGCCCTGCGGCACCCTCGCCGTGTTGCTCGCCGGACGGGGCTCGGGGTGCATTCTGAGTGTGGAACAGTGCGATTCGATTCACGCAACAGGGCGCACGACGGAGGGAAAAAACCGTACACCCGACACCGCACCACCCAGACACGACCGGCGCCCGCACCTCTCACGTCGATTTTTTTCTGGTGACCTGTTTCTTCATTGTCAACAAACCTACCAACCTTCCCATTCCACGGCCTCCCACCAATCAATTTCTGTTTTATCAGTTGTCCTCATTGAACAACGCCCGCTCCCTTGTCTTCAAGCTTCCCCCCTGCCAGTTTCTGCCGTTGCTGTTTGCCCGGAAACTCGTTACTAACTCCTTCCTAGAATATTGATCCTTGAAAATGCCCGCCTCCCGTGAAGACTCCGTCTACCTCGCCAAGTTGGCTGAACAAGCCGAGCGCTACGAGGAGATGGTTGAAAACATGAAGGCTGTCGCCTCTTCTGGCCAAGAATTGTCCGTTGAGGAGCGTAACCTTTTGTCCGTCGCCTACAAGAACGTCATCGGTGCCCGCCGTGCTTCTTGGAGAATTGTTTCCTCCATCGAGCAGAAAGAAGAAGTTAAGGGCAACGAGCAGCAAGTTTCTTTGATCAGAGAGTACCGTTCTAAGATTGAGGCTGAATTGACCAAGATCTGTGAGGACATCTTGTCCGTCTTGTCCGACCACTTGATCTCCTCCGCCCAGACCGGTGAGTCCAAGGTCTTCTACTACAAGATGAAGGGTGACTACCACCGTTACTTGGCCGAGTTTGCCATCTCCGAGAAGAGAAAGGAGGCTGCTGACTTGTCCTTGGAGTCTTACAAGTCTGCCTCCGATGTTGCTGTCACTGAGTTGCCACCAACTCACCCTATCAGATTGGGCTTAGCATTGAACTTCTCCGTCTTCTACTACGAGATCTTGAACTCTCCTGACAGAGCATGCCATTTGGCCAAGCAGGCTTTCGACGATGCCGTTGCTGACTTGGAGACTCTCTCTGAGGACTCATACAAGGACTCCACCTTGATCATGCAGTTGTTGAGAGATAACTTGACCTTGTGGACCGACTTGTCGGAGGCTCCAGCACAGCAGGAGGAACAGGAACAGCAGCCAGCAGAGACCAAGGCTGAAGAAGAGTAGAGAGCTCGTCAAGACGAGGCATGAAGATCCACGCAATTCCGCAAAGTTTTTTTATCCATTCTCCTTTCCTGTTCTTGTTCAGTTCTCTATCTTTGTAACTTATACTTTGTCCTCCGTCCCCCACGTGCTTTACGAGTTTGAGAGCCGGCGGATATCTTGAATGACTGAGAAATGAGCCATTATGGGGATTGTGAATATGAGCCGATGCTAAAATAATAAATGAAGCAAAAAACCAAAGTGTAGAAAAATCCAAGTAGGTTGGACTAGATAGTAACGTAAAGGTGACGCAATTGCTAATTTCGACCTGAGAAGGACTCCTTAGCTTCGAGCTGTTAACTGTAACCTGTCAGCCTTTGGCCATATGTTCTACGTTACATTGATGAGAGTTCAAACAATATCACAGGCATTTCAGAGAGTTCATACAAAACAAGTCAGAACATGGAATTTGCTCTTCTGTTATCTCAATTCTCAACTCTTTCTTATCAAATAGCACATATCTTTTCAAAAAGTCAATAACCGATTTTGCCTTTTAAAATGCCTCGTGATTCACTTCGTCAACTCCCTGAATTACGTTTCTCGTGGCGCAGTGTTGTTGGCTGCGAAAATGTGTCAATTCACATAATCGAGATATTTCAAGGTATCATCAACCCTTCCTTCAATAAAACTCCGGGACCTTCAATTAACCATTTCCATCTTCGAGATTGCAACGAAAATAGAGGTTCTCCCGCAAAAGGTAATGTCTATTTCCGTGATCCTCGTGCGTGAAGTCACCACTGGTTTGTTCACCCACAACAGAGGAAATCTCCTCAAATACAATCACATACTTTTCAGTAATTTCAGTTTCAAGAAAAACAAATCAAATTTAATCCCACTTCTGGCTGTCCCCTCCAATGGCTGATTAAAAATAGAGATAGAGGTTCCTGGTGTGTATAGGCGACGCGTGGGAGTGCATCAACGAAAAGTGGAAAAACAGTGTTGTCAAAAACTCAAACAAACAACGCCAATACATAATGCCTGTTGCCGAGCCCGTGGGAATCTCCAATTTGCCCGACCAGAGGTACAAGATCGTGCTGAACCAGGGCGCTACTTTCACGCTCATGGTGGCTGGTGAAAGCGGTTTGGGAAAGACCACTTTCGTCAACACCCTTTTCCAGACAGCCTTGAAAGACCACGACGACCCTAACGAAAGACACAACAAATTTACCAGCGCTCACCAGACAGTGGACATTTCTATTGTGCGTGCCATTTTGGAGGAGAAAAACTTCAAGATCCGCTTGAACATTATTGATACCCCAGGCTTTGGTAACAACGTCAACAACTTGGACCTGTGGACTCCAATTATTGACTTCATTGATGACCAGCACGAGACCTACGTCAAGCAGGAGAAGCAACCTCACCGTCAGGAAAAGAAGGACTTGCGTGTTCACGCCTGTTTGTACTTTATCCGCCCAACCGGCCACTCGTTGAAGCCTTTGGACATTGAGATCATGAAGCGTTTGTCGACGCGAGTCAACTTGATCCCTGTGATCGCTAAGGCCGACACATTGGCACCTGCCGAATTGGAGACCTTCAAGAGCAGAATAAGAGACGTCATTGAGGCCCAGGACATCAACATATACACCCCACCAATGGATGTGGACGACCCAGCCAGCGCCGAGCACTCGAAGCAGCTTATCGAAGCCATGCCTTTTGCCATAATCGGTTCCGAGGAGGAGGTCGAGGTGAGCCCCGGCAACTTCGTCAGAGGAAGAAAGTACCCATGGGGTGTCGTGGAGGTGGAGAACGACAAGCACTGTGACTTCAAGAAGTTGCGCTCGTTGTTGTTGAGAACCAACATGTTGGACTTGGTCTTGTCGACGCAGGAGATCCACTTTGAGACTTTCCGCTCGTTGAAGTTGAGCAACTTGAACGAGGAGAACAAGGGCGAGAACGGTACCTCGTCGAGACTGAAGCCCCGTCGTTTGCATAACCCCAAGTTCAAGGAGGAGGAAGACGCTTTGAAGAAGTTCTTTACCGAGCAGGTAAAGGCCGAGGAGCAGAGATTCAGACAGTGGGAGACGAACATTGTCACGGAGAGAAACAGGTTGAACCAGGATTTGGAGGAGATGCAGGCGAAGTTGAAGGGATTAGAGGATCTGGTGAAGAAGTTGCAATTGCTGAAGAAATAGGTTCGGCTGCTATGACGATGGGACACATCATATTGAGAATGAATATCAATGGAACAGAGTGTAGAGCTGGTGGGTATCTTGCTACGAAGTGGCTTTTTAAATTATATTTATTTTTTTCTTATTTTTGTGGTTTTTTTTTTTTTTTTTTTTTTTTTTTTTTTTTTTTTTTTTTTTTTTTTTTTTTTTTTTTTTTTTTTTTTTTTTTTTTTTTTTTTTTTTTTTTTTTTTTTTTTTTTTTGATTTTATAATAGTAGTCCAGGTGGTGATGATAGTTCACCGTCTGGAACGAGCGTGGAAGCTCAAGATGGCGTTGTCGATCTCAGCCTGAGAGGGCGCAAACCGAGGCGGCTTGTCCTTCTTTGCAATCTCCTGGCGCTTCTTCTTGTACTCCTCAGTGAACCAGAAGGGGGTCTTCTTCCTGGGAGCAGGCTTGGGGGAAGCAGGCTTAAGAGTGGACTTGGCTGAAGCCTGGGGAGACTTCTTGGGAGCTTCAGCCTGGGGAGACTTCTTGAGAGACTCCTTCTGTGGAGCCTCGTCAACGACAAGACTGGCCTTCTTCAAGAAAGGACTCTTCAACTTCTGAATGGTAGCTGAGAGTGTGACGGTCCTTGTCTTGGGCTTCTGTGGAGCCGGCTGGGGAGCCTTGGGCTTCGACACAATGTTGAGAACAGGTCTCTCCTTTCCAAGCATGCTGCGGACTTCGGCGCCAACACCATGGTTCCAAGGATTGGTCTCAATCTTGTTGTTGATGCAGCCGTTCACCAACATAAGGGGAAGGTGTTGGTGTGGAGCGGCTGGGGTCTGAGCCTTGCTGGACTTTGGGGGAGTTTGTGAAAGTCTAGCCTGGCCATCGACAGAAGTCTTGGAAGAAGACACGCTTTCCTTGCCTGTGAAAACACTCGACTTGGGGGAAAGCTTGGAGGTCTGGGGAGAGACCTTGTGGGTGGTCTTCTTGGAGCTGGAGTGCTTGTGGTCGGCAGCAAGACGAGCCTTCAAGGCGGCAGCAGCCTTTCTGTTGGCCTTGACCTGGAGCATCTGGTACTCCAAATTCTCTAGCTTTCTTCTCTGTTCAGCCTGTTCAGCGTCAAGCTTTCTCTGGTAGGCAGCCTGCTTGTGCTTCTGGACCTGCTGGTTCTTCTGGTGCACAGCGTCGTTGTATTGCGACTTCAAGCGGTCCAACTGCTTCTCCTTTTCAATGAGCTTGAGCTTGCGTTTTTCCATCTTGATCTTGTGCTTGGTCTGCTTCTGGACCGCCTTGAGGGCTCTGTCCTCCTCACGGTGCTCTCTGCGGAGCTGGCGACGGTAGGCCCAGCGAGCAGTGGTTCGAGAGACTGCTTGTGAAAAGCGCTTGTTGAGTGGAACCTTGGGCTCTTGAGGTGGGGGGACCTCTTCAACAAAGACAGTAGACAGTCTAGAACGGGGCTTGAATTGGGAAATCCCAGGACCCGTGGGTGCTTCTGGTGCAGCGAACTGCTCTGGCGAAGCGTCAAAGTGGTGAGCGAAGTACTCACGAGGGGCATGCGAGGAAGCCTTATCGTTTGCAACTTTGGCGACCAAAGTGTGCTCCGATTTGGCGTAGGAGGCTTCCTTCACATATTCGGAAACAGGAGGGTTTCTGTTGGCCTCCTGGGGAGAGGCTCCAAGGAGATTCTGGCTTTGAGGGCCGTTGTGAATCTCAGGAACATCCGTAGGCCCTTGGGGCATTGGGCTGCAAGCAGCCAAGGTTTTGTAGTCCACGGTGCGGACCACAATTGCTGGAGGCTGGGCCTCGGGGGACTCGACGGGGGAAGTGGTGGTGGAGTGGACGCTAGGAGCGTCAGGTTCGACTGAAGGCTTCCAGTGGAGGGAGCTGTCGTTCATCTTTCTCAACTTGAAAGACTTGAGCTTGAAAGTGGCATTGAGGGCGTTCAACTTGGCTTGGAAGGCGTCCATGGTAAAATGTGTTTTCTTCTTGGAGGTGGTGGTAGAAAACTTATCCGTATTGTGAAATGCTGCGATATCAGCACCTCTGGGCTCTCTTTGTGAAACCTCTGGCTTCGAGGCATCCAAGATGGCGAGGATGCGGGCGGTACTAACTGGCGAAGGTGGCATTTGATACATTCTGAAAATTCTGTGGTGGTGAAGAAGAAGAAAAAATGTATGACTTTTCGGGGGGTTTATATACCCCAGAGGAGGCCTGATCCAGGAATATTTTGCAACCATCGTGCAGCCTGCATGACGATAAGCTTCGCTACATATCGAGGAAGGTCCGAGACGCTGCGCACTAGTGGAGTTGCCAAAGATGGATTTATTTGGCTGGAGTTTCCAAAAAAATCTAGGGATGAATGACTCGATGCTGGAAGGAGTGATTGGTTTCAGAGGTGGATGCGTGACCAATTGGGGGTGGTGGAGGTTTCCCAGGCATCCGCCGGATTTGGTGCCATTTTTTGAAAAAAGTGATCAGAGGAGATAAAGTATGTGGGGTTAAGGCTGTCGGAGAGGACCAATTTGTGCTTTTTTTACCAGGGGTAATGATACTGGCTTCTCTTCCTCACTCAATTCCGCTTTTGCTCGACCTTAGATGTGCCATAGATCACGGAACTACATGGGAGCTCCAGTTATTAGTCTGTCATACACTTCATGTCAACCAATGGCAGCCAAATATGACCCCCTATCTTCTTTTAAACACATTGCAATAACCTCATAAAATTCTGGCAATGAAAATGAACGCTTGATCTCTCTATAGTCCCTCACTACACTACAATACCACTATATCGCTTGGAGCAACCCAAGGTTCTGACCACAACGACTCCCTAAAAACGTCAAATCCCTCCAAAAACAAAACCCACCCTCCTCCCACCTTTATCCTCCCTCTTCCATCAACACTCCACTCATTGTACTCGGATAATGCTTGTGTGGGGTCTCGGCAAATTTCACCACTCCTGCACCAACCTCTACAACTTCATGCCTCAAAGCTAATCCAAACTTCTCCCGCATTTGCACCTTCCTCATAATCAAGAGCATGTCTGCAGTCAGTGGCTCCGAAGCAGGGCCAGCTCCAAAGAAGTTCAAAAGAACATACGTGGCTTGCCTCAACTGCCGGGTGAGGAAAGTCAAGTGTGATTTGGGTGATCTACTGCTGCCCAACAGGAAATGTGCCCGGTGTGAGCGGGAACGCCGAGACTGTGTGTTTGTTGATTCGAAGAAACGAACGGTGGAGAGGTTGCGGATGGGACTGGGCCAGGCATCAAATCATGCAGCCCCTGGAGGTCCTTCTTCACCGAACCTGTCGCTGTCTTCCCCAGGAACTCCGGGAATAGCCGCTCAGGGTTCGGCATCTCAAACGGCTAACAAAAACCAAGATCAGGCCAACCCAAAGCACTTCAGTACCATGGAGGGTGCCCTTGTGTTTTTGGCGAATGCTGCCGGCAAGATAGCGTCGGCTGACGAGCGGGATAAGATCGATGGCAGGAGCATGTATAACCACCTCCAAGAAACGTCCCAGTTTCCAGTGCTGAGCGAGAGATCACAGGCTCCAGGCCAAGCACAAACTCTGACTTCACAGGGACTGCCGCAAGTCCATCCAAACTTCCCTGTGCACCTGCCGCTGGTGCCTTACTCTCGAAAGTCATCTATGACATCAGATACACCAAACCACAGAAACAGCAACTCTGGCCCTGCTCCCCGCTCCACAAACGCCAACAACTCCAGCTCTAACTCCGGCTCAAGCTCCAATCCACCTTCCGCTTCGGTCAACATGGGCGCTGCTCAATGGCCATCATATTTCAGCCGGCCTGAAGACCAGTCACAGCGTCTCACCATGCCACCAGCAGAATCTGAAGCGGATGTTCGTCCTCGAGGAACTCTGGATTTGAATGCTATCGTTTATATCGGTGAAGACGGTATCCTCACAGCCTCCGAGGCAGAATACTTGATCAAGATGTTCTTCACAACCATGCATCCTTTCTACCCTCACATACCCAAATTTTTGCATCTGCCCTCGGTTCTAGCGGGTTACCCCATCCTCCTTTGTGCTGTCCTCACGATTTCATCTCGTTATCATACGTTGAATAGCACCACAGCTGACGGAACTCCTAAAAATATTGACGTTCATGACAGATTATGGCTTTACGTCCAAAGACTTATTTCACAGACTGTCTGGGCTGAGGCTTCCACAAGGTCCATCGGAACAGTGTTTGCATTTTTACTCTTCACTGAATGGAACCCTCGTGCCATTCACTGGAGATGGTCGGATTACGCTAACCGTGCAGACGATCCGTGTGATACAGCGATGTCTTCAAACCCGCTCTCATATGCCTCGTCGGTTGCTGCTGCCACTTCAGATGAACCAGCTGGTCTTGGTGCTATACGTAGATCGTATAGGATGGCGTGGATGCTCATTGGATCGGCTGTCCGTTTGGCCCAGGATACGGGGTTCATGGAAGTGAGTTCGAAGACTTTCTTGGCTACACATGTGGCTGAGATGAACAGTGTGATGAACATGAGTCGAAGGAGTATGTTGAGTGCTTCTCTCGCCGATGTTGAGCTCGACCATGGAACTATCTCAGAAGCCGATATGGAATTGAGAGAGGACAACGAGTACAAGGTTCTCAACATGACCGAAAACGAGCAGAAGAAAATCACCGCTGAGAACTTCTTGTCCTTCACTGAGCCACAGAAGGCCCATATCGAGTTACTACAAATCATGGCTTTGAGTCACGAATCTTTGTATGGTTACAAAGCACCACTTGGGTCTCTTACTCAGCGTCAGAATCTTGCGGTGCTTAACATTATCAGCCCTATGATCAATAATTGGGCAAGGAAATACAGACATTTGATGCAGCCACCATCAAACAAATGGCTTCGAAAATACAACATTGACGATCCCAGCTCGTGTGACGATGCCACCGCCAGCAAATTAGCTGCTTACATTCAGGCAGAATCTTTCGTTTTCGAGTACAACTATGCAAGGTTATACGTTTTCTCCTTAGCGCTCAGTCCGACGCCTAAAAACTCGTCTCCAACGGGCGGCAAGGTCAATTTGAAGTTGGATGAAATTTCTCGAAGTGCCAAGTATATTGACCAGGCTTTCACCGCCGCTAATGAGATTCTTCTGATGATTCACAGAGTTCATAAGATTAAGATGCTTCGGTTTATGCCAGTTCGTTGGGTGACTAGGCTTGTTCGTGCTGTGGCTTTTATCGTGAAATGTTACCTCTCCATCACAGCTCACAAGTCGTCTTCAAAAGACGAAGAGACCGGCACGAGCAGTGAGAACCTCGATGCAACTATCCTTTCGCTTTCATTAATCTCGGTGCAAACCATTGTTCATAGCATCCAAAAAGCTGCCATTACGTTGCGAGACTGCTCGCCAGACGAACTTCATCTTTGCACAAGATACTCGAATGTTTTGATGTACTTATGTTCAGAAATGAGGACCAAGTTGAAGCAGCTGGCAACCGAAGAGGACCCAGACCTTGCTACACAAGATCAATCGAATGAAACCAAGGAGGAAGTTCATCCCCCTGAACACTCCAATGCTTACCAGGAGCAAAGCTACCCACAAAATGCCGCTCTTGTGTCTGCGATAACTGATCCACCGCAAGGAGGTATCCCACCAGGCAACGAGCCCGCTCCATCAACACAACCCAGCAGTAGTGGCCTCAACTTCTTGGGCGACAGTGAACTTGTGGAATGGATAATGAACAACAGAGATGTTGGCCTTGATTTCGTCGGTCCTTGGACAGAGCTCATTGACAAACAGTTGGAGGACCAGCACTTTGATTTCAATGACGGGCTTAATTTCGCTAATTCATAACTGCATAATTTTACTACTTAGGTAAAGTGAATGAGACATCAACCAGTAATACCGTAGTCAAGGTTCTCATAATTCGAGTCAACGAAAGTGTGCTTGAGAAACTGCTTCCAGAGCACCTCTAACTTCTTGTCTTTCTTTGTAGACTCTATTCCAGTAACTTCTTTGCTGTCCTGTTTCACTGGAGCACCTAGTCTTCTTCCGAGATCGAGCCATTCACTGACGGTGAGGTCTTCCATGTCGTATTTGTCAGTGGAGTATTCAAATTCATACTCGAACTTCTTCTTGCCTTCATTGATTCCTTTCAAGTCGAGGTAGTATTGGACATAACGCTCAGGCGTGAAAAGCTGTTTGTCGTAAGCGGGGCCTAACGGCAAATTCTTTGGCATCTTTGGCGGTATGGTCTTATCCTTCTTGAAGGCATCAACCTTATCACTAAATGTTGCAAACTGGTCGTGATAGTCGGCACCATCATCCTTCTCGAGCAAAACGTCAATTTGAGTAAAGAATGAATCCCAAGACCCAAAGTCATTGGCCTTCACGTTATGCAAGTCCGTGATGTTGTACTCCCAGACTCTCAAACCCGGGTTGAATGTTGGTACGACACTAGCAGTGACATGTGCGACAGCGTATCTTTCAGAAAGCTTGCCGCATTTCTTAGCGCGTTTGATGTCCGCATACATAGTTTCCCTGACAGTGTTCATATAATTGACCTTGTTTTTTGGTACACCTGCCTCCACATGAATATCTCTTGCGAAGTCAACGAAAGCTGGTGCTTCCTCGACTGAGTCGTGAGGAATAGAAGAGTTGAGTGCATCATAAACCTTCTCGAGGGTAAATCCGTCCTCTTCATCGTCTTCAAATGTGTTGAACTCGCTCTGTCTCATCAAGGTTTTGAATTTCGAATCGAAGGAATCATAGGCCATCTTAGCATCCAAGGGGACCCAGTGATCGATGTTCATATGGCCGTACAAACCACCAATGATCACGTCTCTGTACTCATGAGTCCACATGATGTATTTACGAAGGCATGAAATGTCGTAGTTCTTGGGCGTGGGAGGAACGTGGCCAGTGAACCAAACCTTCATTCCTCTTCTGCGCATCTCTTTCAAGACAAAGCCCAACCACTTAAATATCTTGTAACCTGGATCCTTCTTTTTGTCACAGCTGTCCACGAGTGGATTTGATTTATACAAGTAAAGAGTGTTGATGGAAAGGACAGCCAACTGACCAGGAATGACCTCCTGGAAGAAGTAGGCGCCCTTGTTGAATAGATGGAGCTGTGAAGGAGGAACAA